TTGTTAGCATATATGTTTTGAGTCCTCTTCTAAAAAGAGTGACATGTCTTGAAGACCCTAAGAGACATTAAAAGTCTTGGTTCCACGGATTGCCACAATAGGGCATACAACTGAAAATCTGTTTGCTTCCATTGTTCGATTTTTTCTTTAGGCACATGGCTTTCGTCTTTCTCAAGATAGTCATGATGTCCCTGGCAAAGGAACCACATCTCGACGGCAACGGACCAAGAGAGGTAATTTTGTCCGTTTAGCTTCTTGAAAGTAATGAAAGGACTTCCAGAAAATGAAATAGCGCTTCCAGCCCTTCCAGTTGTCATTTTTTATCAAGAGGACAAAAACAGAGAGCAGATATGCAAAAATAATGAAGATTTTTGAAAGCACTAGGGAGATTTTCGAGATGGGGGCACCTAGACTTTACCAAAACTTAGTTTGGAAGGTCAAAACGAACAGAGGAGGTTCTGGCGAAAGCTACTGAGGTGGCGCAGTAACGATTCGGCGAGTGCACGATGGCACGTGGACTGCACACGCCTAGCTGTAGCGGGCAGAGATGGTGCGTGTGGCGGCGCGTCGCGAGGAGTCTCCCTTCAGCACCGGCAGGGGTTGGCTGTCGCTCGGAGAGGCGGTCTAGATCCAGTGGTTTTCGGACGAAACTGCGGTGGCTGTCGGCGGCAGGCAGCGACTGATGGCGACGAAAAGATGCTTGACAGTGTTGGACAATCCAATAGAGCAGAGGATAGCTTCAGATAATGATAAAACTGAGCTTGGACAACCGCGGACAACGGTGGCTAATGGTGGACAGCTGCGGACAACAATGACTAATGGTAGTGGACAAGACCAGACAAAAACCAGAGCGGGATTGACCCGCTCTGATACCAACTTAAGATTAATAGAGAAAAAATATATCTTCAGGCCCACAAGACCCTTCTCCCTTTCTTCTATTTATAATGAAAAGTCTAATACAATGAGACATAGAAAACTAAGTAAGAGACTACAACTAGGACCCTAGGTGCAGACCTAGATACAGATGTAGGAAGTTTCCTACACTCAACACCCTATACTTAAGTCTAATGATAATAATAGGAAGTAATGATTCTAACAATTTTAATTGAAATTCTTCTCTATTTTTTTATTTTGGAATATATTTTTAATTGTTTTGATTCTTTAATACTTTGGATGTTGGATTCAATTTTTTCTTTACTCATGACATTATATTTTTTTATCCATTTAAAAGTTTATTTTAATATTCAATTTTGTTTTCTTTTCTTTGTTTTGTTTTGCTTTGAAGTACAAAAAAGTTAAGTGTGAGAGAATTTGATAATATATGTTTTATATTCACATTACTAATTTTATTTTACCTTCTAAAAACTTTTTTGATATCTCATTATTTGTATATTTTTTTCAACAGAAATAAATTGAGTCTATATTGAATAAATATTTTAATTTTATATTTTGCTCTATTTTAACATCCGTTAATTATTTTAGTCATAACTCTGTATATATATTGTTAGATTTTTGTTTCATCATAGATGGTGAAATTTGAAGTCTGAAATGATTTTTAACAAATTTTAGAAATTGAGAAAAAAAATACTAAATTTTCTGTATACAAAATTGTATTATGTTTTGGGCTTGAAAGGTCTGTTCCAACTAATTCCATTTGTTTCCTTTTTCTTTTTTAATTATAATTTCATTCATTTCCATCTTTTATATTATGGACAAAAATTACGTACTTTAATTAAGTTTTCATTTTTGTCTTTATGAATTCTCTCCTTTTTTTTTCTCTTCTCTTCCATTCTTTGTTTAGCCTTTTTATCTTCTCATATAAGTGTGAGGAGACCTAATCCACGGAGTGCCAAACCATTTCTTTCCATCTATAAATTAAAAATCATATAAATTATAAAATTGAGTTTTTTACCTATTGATTCACACACTTTTGTTATTTTTCTAATTCTTATAATAGCATGTCATGTGATTTTCTTTACTAAAATTTTAGAATTCAATTAAGTTTGATTTGATACTTAATTACAAATTAGATTAAATGATTATTTTATTTGATTCATAAAATTTATTCAGAATCGATTTGATGTTTGATGATATTCAAATTCATATGTATCTAAATGAGGTTAATGTTTTAATTCTATTTCTTAAATCAATTGAATTTTACTTTGTACTTACATTTTATACCAATTCGGTTTGAATTATATTTCTTGTATTTCAATTTTAATTGTATTTATATTTTAATTGTGCTTATATTTTAGTGGCATTTACATTTTAATATGATTTATATTTTTATTGCGTTTAAATTTTAATTGCACTTTATTATTTCATTTTTATATTATTGTGTTCTTGTTTGTTTCAATTCAATTTTGATATTTTGATTTTAGATTTCAGTTTGAAAAAACTCCAAAAATTACCTTAACAAAAATAATAATACAAGATAGATTATAGTTTATGTTTATCATTGAGAAAATTAATCTAAATTATCCATTATATTGCAAACATATTTAAAATTTTATATATTTTAAACTCATTACCACAACCAGAATCAAGAAGATCATGGGTATTTATAATTTTGTTTTTAGATTTTTAATTTGCCACTTATGTAGTGATCACCATTTTATTATTAGATTTATTTTTTATTACTTTGAATTTTTGTTCTTACTAGAAGATAAATATTGAAATTATAATATGATCTATCATAACAGTAATAAAATATTATTATTGAGTGACTCGAATTTAAAGTGTAGGTTAATATTAGCATCTCATATTAAATTTGGGCTAATTATTTTCTTGCATGAAGTATAAATTTCTCAAATATCACTAATTTTTACAAATATCTTTGTGTATGTTTTGTGATCTTTTAACCATATTTGTAGGCTTAATGTATGGAAAGATACATTGAAGTGTCTTTCCTGTTGGATAGAGAGAGGGTTTTATTTGAATTTGAAATGAATGAAGTAATACAAGTCATGTGAAATTTTTATGATATTATATCATGGTTGCCAATAATAATCAACATCATTTATAATAATAATAATAATAATATAATATTACTATTATTATTTTTAAACATGATGTATGCCGTTGGATTAACTTCCTTTTGTATCATCACTCCACGAATAAAGTGTTTCTGCAAATCGAACGGTAGAGAAAGCGCGTGGGACAACACCTATATCATGGTTGTGACATCAACGTTTCCGCTTCCTTTGTTTTCTCAAAGAGACGTGTTAAGGGATGGGTGACGTTATATTAGTATTTTAATTATCGATAATGTTTTATTTTTCACTTCATTAAACGTTTGTTCTGTTTTTGTTTGTTTAGTAAAAATCGAAAATCTGAAGCAAAAGAAACGGCACACACAGTGAGCTTGGAATCGTTTGTTTGCGTGAGCTGAATCAGGTGACACTTTCTTCTCCCCACTCACATTCCTATTTCTCTCTTATTTTCTCCGCAACTTTAGCTTCCTTTCAGCTTTCGTTTCGATTTATTGTGGTTTCCGATGTCAAATGTTTTTCCTGTTTCTGTTGTGTGGATCACACTGTTTGTTGCCATAATGAGACACATAAATTGATTAATTTCTCAATGAAACGGATGCTTTGGGATTGGGTTTTGTGTTTTACTCGGAATTAGGATTTACTAGGTTTCTGTTTCTGGGAACACTCTTTTCTTCTGAATTCACTGTTACCTAACGTAGTATTTATTACCATCAATTTTGTTCCTAGCGTCATGTTTGTCCCACTTTAAACCCTTGTTTTATGCTCAATTCAAACACTTAACTGAACTTCTTTCAGAATTGGCTTACATCCTGTTGTTTTTGGAGCTAGATCTTTGTGTGAATGACGCTCTAGATAATCTACTGTTATAAAATGCACTATTGTATTCTCACTTGCAACATACAGATTACCTTGGATAAAACAGTTTAGAGGATTAGGGAGTGGTAAGATTTTAATATCTAGAGTTATCTATCTGTGGTTAACTGTCAGGAAAAAAGTTAACCCCCTTTCAAGGCCAGGCGAGATCTCGCCACATTTTGTTTGGAGTATTACGGTGGATTTGGTATCATCAGGAATCAAATTAGGAGAAGGTGCAGGCTGGAGACTTTGTTTTTCTACCAATCTATGCCTTATTGCGTTTTCTTTGGTAATGTAGATGGATGTTGCCTAACTAAGTAACTATTTATGAGCATGGATTTATTTCCTAATGCCATGGTTGTCCCACTTTAACCCTTTGTCTCCTGCTCAATTCATATCCTAACTGCACTTCTTTTGGAATTGGCATTACATCCTGTTGTTATTGGAACTAGATCATTGTGTACATAACATTCAATATAATCTACTGTTATAAAATGCACTATGGTGTTCTCACTTTTTAACGTATAGCTTACCTTGGATAAAATACCGAAATCTCATTGCATAAGGTTTGGAGTATTAGGGTGGATTTGTATGTCATCAGGAATAAAACCAGGACAAAATGCTGGCTGGAAACTTTGTTGCAAGCAATCTATGCCTTATCACGTTTTACTTTGGTGATTTAGATGGACGATACTTAACTAACTATTTATGAGCATGAATTAAGTTCCTAATACCATGTTTGTCCCACTTCAACCCCATACTTTATGTTCAACAAAACCATACTGGGCTTTTGGAATTGGCATTATATCCTGTTTTTATTGGAACTAGATCATTGTGTAAATAACATTTAAGATAGTCTACTATTATAAAATGCATTATAGTGTTCTCACTTGCAGCATCTAGATTACCTTGGGTAAAACAGTTTATAGGGTTAGTAAGCGGTAAGATTTTAATGTAAAGTTATCTATGTGTTGTTACTTATCAGGAAAAAAGTTAATCCCCCTTTCAAGGCCCACCGAGATCTCGCGACATAAGGTTTGGAGTAATACGGTGGATTTGTAAGTCATCGGGAGTCAACTCAAGTCAAAGTGCAGGCTGAAAACTTTTCCGCAACCAATCTATGCCTTAACGCGTTTTACTTTGGTGATTTAGATGGATGTTACTTCTTTGGGTTCAAATAGCAATACCCAAACCGACCAACACCCTTTGTTGATGGAGCAGCCAGAAACTCGTGATGGTCGTCAACACATAATTGACGTTACTGTGATTGGTGAAACTCTAACCATGTCTTCTCATAACGATCAACACTCTGAAATGCATTTACAGCAGAATGGAGACCAGCCGGCTGGGAACACACAAGATCCAACTCATGAAGTATCTTCATCTTCTGCATCCAGATTAAACTCTAGAAATTCAGCTTCGTTGAGAAGAGGTGAAGGTTATGGTCATCGTGGGAGTCCATTGAATTCTGGACTGTGGATTTCTGTTGAGCTTTTTGTCACCGTGAGTCAGATCATAGCATCTATTGTTGTTCTGTCGTTGTCCAGGAATGAAAATCCCCAAGCCCCATTATTTGCATGGGTTGTAGGTTATGCATCTGGTTGTGTTGCCACACTTCCCATTCTATATTGGCGTTTTCGAAACCGTAATCAAAGCAATGAACAAGATTCCTCTCAACCATCTCCAGGATCTTCTGGAAGCAATCCTCCAGATCGTACCTATACTGCCATCTATGTTTCTCATGTTTCAGACGAGGAGAATGGTCATGCTACACAATCAGCCACTAGAAATGCAATAATTCCTGGAGCCTTTACTACAAGGTATGTTCGTTTTACCCTTCTTTCTATCTTATCTTTTATTTATTTATTTTGGGGAGGGCGGGGGAGGGGGATGGAGGGGAATTAGTCCTTATTTATTACTTAGCCTTTATAACGATGAGTATCACTGTTTTGTTTCCCCATTGAGAGTAGAATGTCCTCGAATGTTTGTTTATTAAACCCTTAAATTCATCCGACTTGGATTTCTTTTTGGAAATATATGATCTTTGACAGTATTAGTTTCTTGTTTTAAAGGCAAATAACCTTATTCCTGGGACGTACTTTTATGGGTGGAAATGGGATTGCGGTGCGTCCAATATTTAACTCCAAAGAAAGGCCCATGACTCTTTATTTGGCCACTTTTTTTTGGTGGGGGGAAGGGGGGTGGTTGGATGATAGATGAAACAAAGGAGCCAAGAATTCGGATGGTTAGGAGTAGAAGAAGGATGAGTGCATATTAGGTTTTCCACTCCCCACATTGGAGACACGCGCAAGGCTTCATAACTGACCATGGGCTAACATGTCTTGAATTATATTTTTATCCTCCTCATCTGCATGTTCGATTTTTCAATTAATAGTAAGATGTAACACTTCTTGAATCAATGGTGAAAATTTTGTTAAAATTTTTGGATATTTGTGCTGATATACAAGATGTGAAGGCAGATTTTTTAGTAGTGACATCCTTTTTTGTTGATGATAATGATTGTATAACTGTAGAGGCTAAATTGTAATATCTTGTTTCCTTTGAGGTTGTTGATGCCAAACTCCAGCTAATACAATATATTGTCTAATATTGTCCACATTTAATAAATTCTCTAAGCAAGACAAATCCTTGTTAAAGTTACAGACTAAATGAAATACGCTGAGGTTGGTGACTGGGGAAGACAGGAAACCTTAAAAATGTTGAAGTTGTAACACTATTATGCTATTTACTCAACTGAATACAAAACCTTGATTCACAGTCTCATTTTAATGGACCACTAGCACATTAAGAACAGCATTCTGTTTGCTAAATTTCAGGCTTAATGGATTTGTAGACCATTTCAAGATGGCCTTGGATTGCTTCTTTGCAGTTTGGTTTGTAGTAGGGAATGTTTGGATCTTTGGAGGTCACACTTCTCCTTCTGATGCTCCACAATTGTATAGGTACTTTTAATACACTGTTTTTGCACAACCAGTATTCTACTTTCTTGAATCTTCAAATAATCTGGGCCATTTTATGCAGGTTATGTATTGTGTTTCTTACCTTTAGCTGTATCGGATACGCAATGCCATTTATACTTTGTGCAACTATTTGTTGCTGCCTACCTTGTATAATTTCTGTTTTGGGCATTCGGGAGGATTTTTCTCAAAATAGAGGAGCAACAATAGAATCAATTAATGCTCTACCAATCTTCAAGTTCAAATTGAAGAACAATGCAAATGGAGGTGATCAGGATGTCAATACAGCTATAGATGATGATGGAATTTTGGCTGCCGGGACAGAAAAAGAGCGAGTGATATCAGGAGAAGATGCTGTAAGTTTAATTGGGGTCCCTATATATTGTTTTGAAGTTATGAATTGACAATATTTACCTCCACTCTGCTTCATTCAGCCAAAAGAAGAATGAATAACAATATTTTAGATAAAAATAGAACCTGAATGCAATGATTCTTAAGGATGGAGCTATGAGTTTGTTGCCAATCGTTACGATTTGTGATCCTTCTTCACATGTGAAGAATAATTTAACTGACTAAATTTCTGAATTTTGCAGGTTTGTTGCATTTGCTTAGCAAAATATGCAGATGATGACGAACTTAGAGAGTTACCTTGCTCTCACGTTTTTCATGTTGTGTGTGTTGACAAATGGTTAAAGATAAATGCATCATGCCCTCTTTGTAAAACTGAAGTTGGTACGAGTAATGGAGGGTCACCTTCAGCCTGGGACTCCAGTGCACATTAGGTCAGAATGGATACCAACAGAGCCAAACTTTATCTCAGCTAAATATCCCCCATCAAATTGCTGCTTTTCAAATGTACATCATCAATACATTCAATTCTACTCGGAAGGTGAGTTCCAAAGATAGATGCAAATCAAGTAATACCTTAAGCTTGTGTGTTGTTACGTGCTAGTGAAAGGTTAAGTATGTGTTTTACCCGCCCAGTTACCCCTTTTTTTGTTCTTTTTCCTCCTCTGAGCACCGGTTTTACATATTCACCAAGTGTCATTTGAAGAATGTTGCTCCCTTTATCTGTTGTCCGTCTGTATATATCACAAAATTTAGTGAAAATGTTGATTTTTTTATTTGAAACTGTAAAATCAGCTGAATATTTTTCTTAAATGGTGTTTTGATATCGCTTCATTTTATTTTTTATTTATTAACTGTTTGAATTCTAAGTATTTATCAAATTTATTTTTCATTCGATGCCAAATCCTGCCTGCTCAATTAAGTTAATTTGAGTAAACTCTGTATTTTTATGCAAAAATATTTATCAATTCTTTACTTAAACACTTCCGTCATAAACATACACTACTAACATGTCATTATATATGTGTACCTACGATCTTATTAATTGGCTAATAAGCATTAACAAACATTTACATATACAATTATCAATTTATTAAAAATGCGACAATAATGTTTGCTGGCTAGTATAGGAAGAATTTTGGTAAATAGATTTCAGTTGGTTGAAAACATTTTTAGGAAATAACAAACATGTGAAGAGTGAAATTCAAGCTGACAAAATTAAGACTTATATGTAATACGTCAATATTCTTATCATTGTAATCAACGTATAATTTAATAATACTAGTATACTATTTTAATCAATCTACAAAATTATAGTTTTATGTGCCACCTGTCTCTGAATTTTTTTAAATCATAACTTCTACTAGTCTTCTCCACATCAGGATTATCGCATGGAATCTAAAGCAAAATTTTGAAATAGTTGATAACTAATACATGTTAAATAAGCCAACATACAGGACAAGTACAACATGCTCTCTGTGTATATGCTGGCCGAACGCAGGACCAGAAACTTAAAAATTTCTGCAACTCTCCCTGCAATGTAAGTAGTAAACCTTGGACGAAGATGCACACCTTTGGAGCCTTCTCTCTTAACATATCTCGAAAAAAAAGGGGTGAGCAAATAGAAAATTCAACCCTAAAACATAATTCCGATAAAGTTATACACATTTGCAAATGGAATACACGTCAGTTTAGAGAGGAAGAACTCGGGCAAAGAAAATACATCCGTGAGTTGTGTCCAGAATTGGATATACATTAGCATGACCCTTGCTGGGAACTGCAGCCTAGTTTAGGTGGGGTTTCAAATGCAGCTTGAATTACCAAGCATCCAAACTAGATAATTTGCAAACCATATTTTAGCCCGTCTTCAACTTCCTCCGATAGTGAGATCTTTAAATGCCTCTAGTTGCCCATTTGATGGGGCGGATTCCTCATGATTAGAACTCCCATTTTCAGTGTTCTTGCCTATCTGATTAACGGCAGAGCTATGACTGCCCTCAAAGTACGTGGAGTATGGGAAAAACTCGGCACAACGCACTTTCCATCCTGCAAGCAAATTTAACATTTCCAAGTTTATAGAAGAATATCGAGTATTGCATCTCTTTTGAGGATTTCCCTGTGACTATCCCAAATGGAATTAGGTGGAGTATCAAATAAAGACATGGATTTCATGGCAGATTTCTTGTAGAAGGTATGAGAACTTCTTGTGATGCATCACTACAGTGTGAGTGTCAACAGTAACCCGCAGACGCATAGAAGCAGATATAGAAAGTCAAATTTCACAAGAAAATTGTGAAAATTAACAATTAAAATTTACCTTTTGCAGTGATAATAGAAGACATATTATAGTTGAATGTTATGTCAACCAGAACATAAATTTCAGATAAAAAAAGTCAGACTTTTAGTTCACTATTATTTTTTCCTTACTGAATCCTCAGAGCAAACAGTAAATTGTTAATATAAGGAACAAAATACACATTACTCTTGCATATCACAAGCACATAGCTAATATCTCCCCAAAATTCAGGATATGCACCTGTTCGTACTAAAGCCTTTTAATATAAAAAATAATTAAGCAACAGAAAATCGCAATGATACTTACTTAATGCAGCATCCTGATCAACAAGAACAGTTCCAAGGAGCTTATGAACTGCAATACAATCTTTAAGTTTCCATTCCCCAATCGGTCCAAGCGCACCATTTCTATTATATAACAAAATATTGATTGACTAAACATTGACATTAATATTAGAAACCAAAACTGAGTCTAGAAAGGTAAAAACAGAGATTTAAGTTTATGAAGAACACTGCTATAAACATAAACACTTGCACATGACAAACCGCAAACCCCAAGAATTATAGGATAAGCTATGTTTGTTTTTTAAATTTTTTGTTCCTATTTATTCCCCCATCATATTTCAAAATATATTTGATAGCTGCTAGGTGAGGCAATAGATTGCTGGGGTAAACCTTTTCATTCTATCAGTCAAAATGTGATTAAGCATGCTGGGACATGTCAAGCCCTGCTATAAGTGTGAAATATAAAACTTAATCCACAAACAGGTGTACATCACATGCATGAGTGGTGAAGACATCACACGACTTGATAGCATGAAACTTGAGGATCTGTAAGAACATTACCTTGGCACAAGGTTATTTGTTGACCCTTCAATCAACTTGACAGCCTCAGGCCTTCTGTTGGGATTCAAAATATACAACATTTCTCCAAAAGCAGCTCTATGCATCAAAGAATCTGTAAACAAGAGATAAAACGAATAAGAAACCTTCACAATCAAATTTGAACCATATGGGCTACTACAAATTTTGACGTTAATGCCAAGTATAACCTTCATGTTTTTCAAGGAAAGAATTATTTGTCTCAAACAGAGATTTCCCATGCAGCTGACTACATAAAAAAAAAACAGAGAAAGTTAAAATTAAATCATAAATTCATAAACATGAATATAGCAGACCACAAAAGACAATAAAAGGAGAAAAAAGAATGTAAATAATTGCACCAAAGAACCTAATAGTTTGGCGCTCAGCTTCCAAGACACTCCAAACAAGTTTCTCACTTTCAGTCACAGGCGCATTCATGGATCCCACTTCATTGAAGAATTTAATCTGCAACTCGTGGACTTAAAAATGAATGATAGCTGAAAGAATCATATTCCTTAATGAAGGAGGGAAGAAATCAAAATAGAGAAAACAGTATATCCTAAAAAGGGATAAAATAGGACAAAAGAAGCACCTTGTACCAAAATTCAAGGGAATGGATTTTTCAAGACTATCCAATTTGATGCACTAAATGCTAAATATAAACAAATTAAAAAGATGACTTGCACAAGTAAATCAAATATAGTTATGTTGATTAAAATCCTAAGCTTTATAATCCCAGTGACTTGAAATTTATTTGTTGATTTTGTTATCAAGAGAGGAAAAAAAAAATACCAGACAACGATGAGAATCAGGATGTTCAGCATCCAACCTCAGTAACTGCTTCACAGCCTACAAGTAAAATGATTGAGTACAAAACATGTTTAACTGGCATCATATTCTAAAATGGCAAAGTGTAAGAGCAGCAAGGGTTATAATGTTAAAAAATGAAAAGTAACACGTACATATTCAATTAATAAGCAACAATCACACCACAAAGGCCCCTCGACTAGAAATGTCGAGGAAGACACTGAACTGTTAACCCAAATAAACTACAAACCTGACAAGCTTGGAATATGATGATGTAACCCACCCCACCCCCGGGACCAAAAATATAAAACAATTTGGGCTTCTCATTTTACATATTCTTACCTGGAAGGCAAGTAAAATTTTCTGTTTTCTCATATATAATTCAAAAGAGAGAAAGTGTGTCTCCAATGAGTCAGGTGAATTCTTCTGAAGCAGCTTCAAGTATTTTGTGGCTTCCAATAATGGATCTTCAACCTAAGCAGGAAAAAAAAATGCAAAAATGAACAGTACAATATCAGCATTAACAATTACAATAACTGAATACACATAATTTATCAGAATAATTTCCTTGAAATATATCAATGAATTTTCACGGGAACATATCACTGTTGATTAGTTTTTGATTAAAAAAAGATGAACATCAATTTTATAAATACATGCAGATAATGAAACTGTGAAATCTGTCTTTGGATTCAACATGGCATTTTAACCAAGAAACCTTTTTCATTAAACAGGATTGGAAAAAATTCTCCAAGAAAACATAAAGAACAATTTTAGCCAAAATTACAATTTGAATATCTTGCACATGGATTACATGTACACTGTAAAACCACCAGAATACTCACACATCCTGCCAAACTACCAGAATTGAATTGAAATGCTATTCAAGGATTCATCTTTGGAACAACTGAGATCTATAGATATAATAGAGACTTCACCAATCATATTCTAGGAATGCTGGAACATGATGTGGCAACAGAGCAGGTATGACTAAGTTGTCAATAGCTCAGTTCTTGTCACAAGTTTTCAAATAAAGAAAAAAAGAAAAGATCTACACAAGGTAGAGTGAGCATGGCATGGGCATTATGTGTATTTACAATCCAAAGTGCTCTAGCATGAGGCGTCTTGTAAAAGATAAAATTGTCCATCATGATGAGCCTTCATGGCTTCACATAACATCTTCGCCTCTTGGAAGAGTTGATTACACTCACCTACATTTTTTGTAATACTAAAAATAGATGTATTGAAATATAACCTGTAACAATTTTTCACCACGTGGATCTGGATCAACAGGTTTTGCATGCCGTTTCCCAGACTTTGATACTCCACTGGCACTTGATTCTTCATTTTTTTCTTCTGCCTCCTAAACAAAAAAAAAAAAAAAACTAACATGAATACTTTCCCGTAAGAATTTCCCGACAAAAGCAGTACCAGTGATTACTTTCTTAGCTCTTGCTTCTGCCTTTCTCTGTTTTTGCCTCATTTTCTTTTTCTGAGAAGGAAGCAACTTCGACATGTTATTATCTTCCTCAGCTGTTGACTTTGGAGGAGAATCATGCAATTTGATGTAACATCTGCAACTCCAAACAGTACAAGCATCAGATCACAAATACAAGATCAAAGGGTAATTCCATTTGCATATTTATGTAGGTTGTGGCCCAAAGTGATTCTGTTTTATGTCACAAAATTATAAGAAATCACCAAACATGAAGCATAAATAAGAAACTCTTGGCCTCTCAAGGAATGTAAGGCAGGGATACAAATTTCCCAATTATAAAGAGCACTGAATAACAGTAACTAGCATAACAACTGACGCATAAACCAGTGAAGAACTGCATATTTCACCTGATAGCTCCAGCAGCTGCTTTATGGAAGTATGCATGTGAATGCAATTGGTCTTGAAATTTAAGCATTTCCACATATGTCCGCAATGTCATTTTCCTTAAGCAGTATGAATGAAAATCAAATTGATCTTCTGTAATATCTGCATAATGCTTCTCCACTGCTAGAAATTTCTTTAGAGCCAGTCCAAGATCACCTTGGCGGAAATAGCTTTCAGCAGAGGCAAGCTCGTACCTTCAAAATATAGATGCTACAATGTTTTACAAAATAAAACCATAATATTGCTAGAAAGAACAGAATATTACACATCATTAGACACAGACCACATGCACTGCATATCATGTAGGTTGTTGTGTTGATCACCATCTTTTGTGAACAATACAGCAGTTTTTTCTGCCAAAGCCACCTGGACATCAAGGTAATGGTCCAAAACAAAGTCAGAACAAAAGAGAAAACTACAAATATTACAACATGTAAGTGTGAATGAAATTGAAATATATAGATAGACAAAACCTGATCAGCCTGCAGCATGCGCTTAACACATTCACTATTTACATAACGATCAGCAAGATCCATACACCTAGCTTCATCTGCAAATGCAGCAGCAGCAACCAAATCACCAGCATGCTTCAGTATCCGACTCTGTTATATGAAAAAAATGCAACAATCATTCAACAAGTTATTCCACTTGCTATTGTCTGTTAATGTAAGTTACCAGTCACCACTAATACCAACTTACATTAACTCATTTTCACCGTATTTGATCTTAAAAACATTATTGTGATTTAATCATTTAACTTCTCTCATTTTTCTATTTCGTGAAAAGTTTCCCGAGATAACAAAGCAGTTTAATGTCAAGGTTCTTTATGAACTTTCCTCTTTAATTTCAAATACTTGATATGTTTAGACTTTATCTTTTTATTATAGAAAAAGAAAATGAACACCTTTTTCAATCTCATGTTCATCAATACTAGGAAATTGATTTATTAGGCCAAATATAGAATATCTTAACTTATTTTGCCTCATTTATATTTTTATTGAAGAAATAAATAATAATAACATTTTTTATATATTGCAAGCATGTATGTATAGATACAACTGGTTATATTCTGTTAACTAGGATACAAATTTATTCAAAAACAATTTTGTATATGATAATAGACACTGTTGTTAGTTGGTTGGTTCACTTGACTCATCTGTTACATACACATGCATGCACACACATTTATAAAATAGGGAACTAAAAACAAATAGGTGTACGGATATAAACAAACCTTGACCGAATACAGATCAATAACAGTAGGTGTGTGATGAATAGCCTCATCAATTTTAGAAAGAGAAACTTCATATTGGCCCCGTCTATCATAATGCTGCACCAATAAAAGATCATTGAGTAGGAAATAAAATGAAAGAAAAGTGAAGCAATTTGCAAAAAATGTATCAAAACATGATAAAAAAAAACACAAACCTGGGCCAAGAAGAACAAAATCCACATCAGGGTTGAAGGTGGCTCTTTTTCCATACTGAATAGAGGATGAAGCTTGGTTGTTATACAAGAAGACAAGAGTTCCAAAGTACCAAAACTTCAATTGAAACTATAAGACTTCCCATAATTGCATAGTATTGTCCTTATAAGACTTCCCATAATTTGACATATCCTCCCCCAAGATGTACATTGTTTCATTTGTTTCTACAACTGTGTTGTTATTTTATAAGGGTTTCATTTATGTTTTTAGCCACTGTATTTTGACGTAAATCTGATTTTGGTCCACCAAATAAAAAGAAATTCATTTTAGTCCCTTAATTTCAAAATATATAATTTTAGTCCCTAAACACTAAATTTGGAGTTCTAAAAGCAATCTCAAAATTAATCTTCAGCCCTTAAGGCCCTAAATTTAGGGACTACGGACATAATTAAGCTTTTATAGCATATTATAAGATGGACCCAAAATGTTCATCTGAGGGAATGCCATTTGTTGAAGAACATTTATATCATGAACATATTTGACAAAACGTAAAGCCACTTTCAATATTAGTAGCTCAACATGCCTGATTTGTCTTGGAATTATTTGAAAGAAAAAAAATGAGACAAATTAGAGAGAAATTTTCTGGCAATCAATCCTTTGAAAAAACTATTAATATCAGAATTTGACGTTATTTAACTAATCATTCCAACTGTTAATAATGAATTCTCTCTTTTCTATCTCCAAACTCCTAACACAATATACATTAACATAGGCAGACTTACACTTTTACCATATGAACATCTCATCACAACTCTACACCATATATGTTAACAAGCATATCTTAATTCTTACCATCCAGGGTATTGACCACTGGACTTAATTGAACTCTCTAACTCAAGAATGATCTGTTCCAAAATGTCGGCCTGGACAAAAGTGAGAAAGACAGAACTCAGAATCAGAATTTTCTACCACTATGTTATACAATAACACAACCTACACTATTTATAAGCAGAAGAATAGGAATAAAACTGACCTTCCCAGGTTGATTGTATAACGAAGAAAGATCAGAGAAAAGAGATGGTACACCCTATAAGCAACACAAAATGTAATCCCAATTTAACTTTGAACGTAGTAAAGTAGGCAGAATACATCACACCAAAATAGATCCCTATATACCTTAGATAGGAGAGGCTTAATATAACTATATGCTGCGTCTCGAAATTTATCACCTTGTAAAAAATCCAGTGGTATTCTCTGAAAAATATGATAAACAAACAGCAGTGTGGAATGAACTTCATTCTAACAAAACGGGCTCCATAAGTATTACTCATGCTGATAAGAAAAAAAAATATTAACATTATGCCACTGCAAATTCAACATGACATATTATGGATCAGTGGAAGATGCACTCACACTCCGAAGAGCTTTCCCCCATCAAAACCAGAGTAGCTATACATAATTCCATAGAAGGGAAGAAATAAAAAAGCTATCACTGACTACATTTAGTAAACTAATATACCATTTCGCAGTTAACCTTCATTTTCCATTCAACAAGAAATCACCAGTCTAGGGGAGTACGGGGTTCTCCTTTTACACAACATAATAAGTAAATGCAGGTAGTGATGCTAAAAGACAGGTATTGAAATGTGATATCTAACTACAACAATTGGCAGCCCTTACCTTAACAGCAGAAGACCACTTATATTGCTGCCCAAGTGTTTTGTACAAGGCATCTAACTGATCTATTTCATCAGGAGAAAAATAGCCATTTTCTGAAAATAATCCAACACATTTTTGGAGGCCTTCATAATATCTGAGCATCAATATGAAGCACAAATAATTGTTTAGCTCCTACTAGTCAGTAAGATTGTAGACAAGATAAAAAGCAGACAGAATAACAAGAAAGGGGAATCATTACACAAACATTGTGCACCATTAAAATGAACTAGAGAGTTTAAGTCCTAAAGAATTGTGAAGGCATTGTTAAGGGTCTATTTATTTCTTGTCTCAGAAACTTTTTTTAATTTTTAAAAATAAACAAACTTGTTTGATAGGAGTAGTTTTTGAAAACTTTTCAAAATTAATACCACTAGTTTAATTTTTTTTTTTTTTTTTTTTTTTTTAAACATAGGTGATTATCAACAACGGATGATTATAATGGTGAGCAAAATATCATCACATAGGTGTAGCAGATGGCATGGGGACCAATGCCAGAAGATAGCTGACAATACACACTATATAGAAAAATAATAGAATTTAAAAACAACAAACTTTAAAAAATAATAGGATTGAATAAGCAGAAAAGGAAGTTAATAAAGGAAAAAAAAAGAATTAACAAATAAACAAATAGAGTTAGCAAAAGAATTAGAAAAAACAAATAAGATAAAAAAAATGAATAAAAACTTTAATTAGAAAAAAAAAACAGAATTGAATAAGCAATAAAAAACAATTAAATAAAGAGAAAAGTTAATAAAATAAATTATAAGGTTCACCATAGAGGAAAAATGGAGAAGAAAAAACAATTGATAAATGCAACAGAATATAGGAAAGGAAAAAATTAATTTGTTTGAACAAAAAAGATGTTCTAACACTAAAAATTGAAAAACAAAAATTACCACAGAAAAAAGTACACCATAGGAGGTTGCCAGTGGACAGTTACTCACTTGATGGCAACATCATGAGGGAGACTGGGTGAGAAGAGAACCTTAGTGTGTTTATGATTACATTTGAGGGTAGTAAATCCTACTTAAGCCGGTACTGGGGCAGACCACATGGCTCAAATCACTATCTACTTTTCTTAAAATTTTCTGCCAAGGCCCCGCCCACACATTTTGCGGCCGCCATTTGTAATCTGCCAGGCTAACATCATATCATGGCAATCTGTCAAACTTTTGCTATGGCTGCCATTTCACAACACATCTTTTATATCTTCTTCCCCCACTTTTACCTCAATCGGTTTTTGGAAATTGTTTTGTAAAATAGATGGTGTAAACTTTAAAACAAAAACACCTTCACATTCAGATATTTCCTCCGGCACGTCAGAAATATCAAGACAAAATAAGATAGAACTAAACCTTATCATTATCAGTCCATCCAGAGATGAATGTAAAAGATTTAATCATCAAAATATCCTTTTTCTGCTGTGGCCAAAAGAAAACGGGAAAAATGGTGTAAAAACCTAAAATGTACATCCAAACAGGTATCACAATTGAGGCATTCATAGTTAAAATGCACGTGGCCAGTAAGATCACCTATAGTTGTCAGGATTCATGGAAAGTAATGCCCGGTACAATTTCTCCCCTTCTTCTAAGCAGCCAAGCTTGACTAGAAGTGAGACCTCCTGTTCTTTATATGCAAGCTTATCAACCTATAGACATAATAAGAAACAGATCAGCTAGCATGTTTCTCATTCATACCAAGTTAAATTAACAAATCACCTCAATAAATAAAACACATACAATTTTTAACTCTTTCTTCTGCAACTCCTCAAGAGCTTTCTGAAAATATCCACACTCTTCCAACAAGGAGATCTGGATGAATATATTTGATGCAGAAAATCACCATGTCAAGGTATTATTAATAGTGGCATGTGAACAGTATAAAGACTTCATATTCATAGGCATACACAAGTGGTGACAACAGAAACATTCACATTCAACAAAACACAGTTTACCTAGAACAAAATATTTAATTATAGATTCTGAGAAAGTTCTTTATTCGACTTATAACAACTATAATGCTTATATTATAAGTAAAAGTTACATATGCAAAGTAGCATTATGCAATATGCATTAAACAGAAAATAGTTGCAGCAACAGTAAGGGGAGAAAGACCTTATACAAAAGCATTTCCCCATGCTCACACCGTTCATTGTCTGGAGGATAATCATCTTCCAATGTCCCTTCATATGCTTCAAGAATTTCAATAGCCTTTGATGCACTGTTTCATATTAAAAAACTTAGTACAACAAAATACCAAAATAAAATTATGTCATTTGAATAACAACCATCAATACTGAAGTCATGGTATTAACATTATCCAAAGTTTCAAAGGAGAATTGTGATTTTGGTGCAATTCAAACAACATTGATTCCCCAATCTCCACCCACAACATTGGTTCCCCAATCTCCACCCACAACATTACCCAGTCTCATCACATCCCAGAACCTACAAGAATGCAACACCACCCAACCCATGCCTGCCACCCAAAAATGAAAAAAAGAAATTACCTTGTTTTATGAAGACCTTGTATTTTTTTAATTACATTTTTTCAATATTTTCATAATTATTTTAGGACATTTAGGAATATTTTCTGTGTTTTAATTATAATTTTCCAGCATTTTATAATTATTTTTGTGACATTTAGGAATATAATGTGTATCAAGAACTTAGAGATTGCCAAAGTCATGACCTTTACCAATAATTTTCTGTCATAAGATCCTAATAGTGTATTTAGGTATGCAGTTAGCCAGTAGTCTCGGCTATGTACAAACTAGCTGAGAAAGCTCTCAGGTTGGTTATGCGGCAAGCTGTCAGTTAGTTATCACAATTGTATAGCATGTACCTCAAGCCTATCATATATAATAAGAGTCTGTACCCAATGGATAAGTTCACTAACATAGACTAAAACTAAAAGAAAAATTACTCACCAATGAGGATGAAGAGAGTTATGGGGTGAAATTGATGAACCCAATGGATAAGTTTACTAACATAGATTAAAACTAAAAGAAAGATAAGATATACTCACCAATGAGGATAAAGAGTGTTACGGGTTGCAATTGATGATCCCAAAATTACCGGACACAAGAAGTGAACCCATCTACCTATGTAACTTGAGATGAGATGGTGTGTAAATTGGGTAAACTTCTACACAGAGACCAGGATGTTCTTTTCATAGGACGAGGAAGCATTTGCTTATTGATTTCTATACTTAAATTATGCTTTGTGTGTCTTAGCACATGATGATATTAGTACATAACTCCTAACTCCTGATTGCAACTATTAACATCCTTGTCACCATTCTGCATAAAACCTGTCATGTTAGCTCTTCCACTATTATGACCACAATTTATAAAGAGCACTAGTGCCACTAAATAGTATGCTAATAAGTTTGGAAGCCCTCTATACGAAGAATAATCTAACAAAGGTATCCAGTAGAGAAGAAACATCAGACCCAATGAGAATCGGTGATATAACGCTTACAAATTCTGTAGGAAGTCAGGAAAGGAAGCTTCAAAGCAACCATTTTCTCCTGTTGAGCCTACTAAACCTGCACATCAAGATAATGAGGTAACAGCACAATAAGTTCTGCTTAAGCCCTCTTGAGATCCATAAATAAGCTCAGTCCTATCCCTTTTTCATGGATCACCCAAGGATCTACACACAGCATACAGACGGGAGATGTTCCTTTTTTGCCAAAAGATAAGAAATTCAAGTACTCTGTCAATTCCTTAACAAATTCACAATGACTGATTAAACCAATCACCTCACTATCAACGGAATTACAAATTAGCAGAACTAGTTTTGCATCATCCCTCAACCAAGCTTGTTTCATACAATATATAGGAGGGCTAGTAGCAAGGTCACCATCGTTCTCAATACTTCTAAGGTAAAATGGTAGATGCAACCTGTCTTGTCCAATCCAAATGGTTAGATCCATTAAGTTGGTGCCCTGCGATCTTCATCATCATCAGAATCCATCTCTACTGTTGATGCTTTATCCTCTGCCATTAGGAAGGCAATACACCAAACAGACCCGGAATGGCAAGGCAGAATCAATGAAGGAAAGACAAGAACCAATCCTACTACACACTCTCGCACTGTAATACCAAAATGTAACAGACAACTGAAAACTGGAGACAAAAATGCGACACCAATACACAACACCACTGACTGGATGGGATAGGCCAATTGGAAGGTTTTGATTCTAGCATTGTGAGCATTGAGACCTAAGCTCACCCACCAAGTTCAGGGCAAATTTCACATAACAAAGGTAGATAACAAGGATGCTAGAATTAACTTATTTATTCATAGGTCCTTTACATAACACATCATATGTATTAAAAAATAATTATTGATAATCTAATCCCCATATTCGTTTTCTTCTTGTGTTTTTATGTATGTACTGAAAAATTGTTTGCAGAATCACAGTAATATTTCTCGCTCTATAACACTTGCAAATAATCACACAACAACCGATTACATTGCCTTAAAAGCATCAAAAATTAATAAATAGAAACATTGACAAACTAAGGGCTAGTTTAGCCTGGGAAAACATTTCCTTTTTTTTTGAGATAATTACAAGAATGCCACCTTGTTTTTACTTTGTTTATAGTTGTCAAAGATTCATACATGAAATAGTAAAAACAATAGTTAAGAAAATAATCCTAAGGTCATATATTATTTAGTACAAAGATGGCTCAACCAGCTATCATTAGGATAAAGCATTTAATTTCATATAAACAAAAATCATACCTAGAGTTCAAATGATGTGCAACAGCAAAACCAATCCAGTTCATGCGATGATTTGATTTGAGAGTCAGGAGTTGTTGTCGTGTCTCAACAAAGCCAGTTAAATCTCGCATTTGAGCCTGACAGTGAAAAAAAAAAAAACACACTAAATGCAATTATAGAATAATTCAATGACTGTGAGTGCTTAATATGAAAAGTGCAATGAAATATCATCACAAAATATTTGTGTATGTTGGAATTATAAGAACCTAATTACTATCATTTTCCAATCAGATTTAGTTCATTGGGCATCTTAGGCTCATCAGGAAATTGAGATAGTTTAATTACCCTTGTTTTCCGATTAACATTAATCTGTGTATATACACCATTTAACAAAGTGTGAATGAAGAAAAATCACTAAAAATTAGCAAAACTAAATCAAAGTAAAACTACTGTCATTTATCTCCCAAGAGGGAGACCAAGAGACTTTACAAGTTTACAACGTTTCCCAATGCTAAAAAAAAGAATTAATATGCTACCTGTAAAAGTGAGAGACTGTGAAACTTTATAAGTCTATACAAGTTTACCAATGCTAAAACGAAAAAAATTACCTGTAAGAGTGACAAGTCCCGCAGTATTTCAATATTGTCAGGATCTATTTTCAATGCATTTCGATAGCACTTTATTGCTTCCCTATATTCTCTGTCTGACCGATAAAGAAGACCATATACATGCCAACAAACATGACTTTTAAGGTCATTCTGCACCATAAAAAACAAATAGTAACCTTGGTCACATGACATTTGACGGGAAGATAGATAAATGCTGCAAATTCAAAGGCAACCAACCTTCAATCCTTGGCGAACCAATTCATATGCTTCAGACTTACGATCCATACAATTCAATGTTAACCCCTTCATTGATAAAGTTTCTATCGACAGAACAGAAAATATAAATAATTCAGACATAAATCATTCAGTAATTCAGAAATGGAGACTAGTTAAAAAAAATATATTCATTTTCGTGTTACTCATCTAAAAAAAGAATAAAAAGATTCTAACAGCAAAGGCATGGAAAAACATGTATTAGAAAAATTATACCTCCATGGTCTGGGAATTTTTTCAAAATAGCATCTGCTGCTTTGAGACCCTTTTTGTATTGTTTGGTTTCATAGGATTTCTGCAAATGAAAACAGAAAAATTAAGTTCTATTACCACATAATTATAATCCCCTCCCAATCCTAACTCTCTGTAAAATTGCCAATGACCAAGATGGTTGAAATTGAATTACACAAAGTAGTAAGCAAACATTTGTATCACTGAGAAAACCAATCCCAGAAAATACTGCTACCAGAAGGAATTCCACGGATAGTCTGGGAGTTGGATCATAAAACATAACTATTTATCGACTACAGATTGTTCCTTCAATTGCAACAAATAGGAACAAGAACAACGGCCAATATTTCTAAATAAAGAAATTCATTATTCCCTTGTACTTCAACAATCCATTATCACCATTTATTCCTTTGTTGATTATGCCAGGCTGTCTGTGCATGCATTGATAAAGACAACCCCATCCATAATCCGGGTGAGAGCAAATCATACTTCCTTCCAGCTTCCCATAGCCGCAAGGGAAAAGGAAATAAAAATACAGATAATGCAATAAAGTCAAAACTGCAGAGTTGGGGAAGTTTCAATCCCGCTCTAATTGTAACTCCCAGCAGAGGTGAAAAACAACACAACGGTGAACCTCGCAAATCGATGTATCGCCGAAGTACAACCAAACCTGAATGCTCGACGTATAATTATTATCATTTTGATTTGTATGAAGTCTTTAGCGTATTGTGAGCAAACAAAAAAACGTACAAGAGTGCTACGAATAAGAAGAGAATCTAGGGTTTAGAGACGGAGAAGTAGTAATCGTGGAAGCAGAAGAGAGTATTAAAGTTGGATCAAGGGAGGGGATGGAAGCATGAAATTGAAAAGAGAGAGGAAGCTTACAACAATAAGCTTGAAGAGGTTAGACTCTCTGGGAGGAAGAGAAGCGCCCATTGTTGGGGTTTGGGGTTTGTGGATGGCGTGTGTGAGTGCGAGCAATGCAGTGCAACGCAACCCTACTGTCAAAAAGAAGAAAGGAAGCAACACTGCTACGTTCTATTGCAGTTTTTCCTTTTTTCTATTTTTGCTTACTCCTAATATTCACTGCGCAACTACTACACAAAGAACACTGTCTCGTGCCTGCGTGCGTGTCTCTTCTGTGCCTGCACCGCATGCGGTTAACTTCCATACTCAAATTACTACGTAGTAATTCACGGTCACAACACTTGTCGGTTCGGGTCGGATCGGGCAACACCGAATCCAAATTACATATTAAACGGGTAAAATACATTGGTTTATGTTTTTCTTGTAATTAATTAATTATCAACATATATAATATAACATAGTTTTTTAACAGTATTATTTAGTCACTGGTGATAACGTTATTGCACTTTAAAATTAAAATATTAATAAAACTATTTAATATGATTTTAATATAATTAGAGCAACTAAAAGTTCGTTGGAAAATAATGTATAAAGCTTGTCGTAGAAAAAAAATGAAATATCATCGCTTAAGAACAAAACACATGGACATATACATATTGATATAGAACCCGTCGTATAAAAAACGTTAAAAAGATTATTTGCACTATTGTATTAAGTTGAACCTGTGACTAGTTTAGTTAATTCCTGATTGAAGTTTTATTATTATTTAAAAAAATATCATTTTACTAACTTTTATCTTAAAAATATCGCTTAAGATTCAATATTTATTAATGTACTATATATATATATATATATATATATATATATATATATATATATATATATATATATATATATACCATATCAAACACAAGATTCAGATACAGTACACATAATTTAAGTCTTAATAGTTGTATTATGTGCCTTTTTCCTAAAAAAACTAGAACGATTAATTATTTTTTTCATTTTACTTTTATGGGATATGTTCAATTGAAAACTAAAAAATAAAAAAAAAATTGTTGCATAAAAAAAATGTAAATTTTAAAACATTTCGTAAGAATGTAATAAAATTTTAAAGTTTATTTTAAAGACTTTTATTATTGAAATTCTGTAATTTAGATTACCTATTATCCCTGTAAAATTATGTAAATCAAGATGAATTTTAGTGATAGTCCATGTTAATATTATAAGAAATCAGATTAAACAATATTTGATTAAGTTATTACGCCACTACTGAAAATAATAAGCATTTTTATTATTTAACATATATGGATTTTAATAAAATAAATGTTAGATATTCTATACAAAAAAAAAAAAACGGCATGGGTGAAGAAGAAAGATGGTTAGATGCCGAATAATTTACTATATCGGAAAAAAATAAATTATGTAAATCTTTAAAAAATATTACCATTTCATATAATATTTTTTGTTTCAAAATATCAGATCAGTGAGTTGATTGTGGCCGTTGGATGTCACACTCATGCAACCTCAAGCATTCCTTTCAGTCTTCTTCACGAACACAATTCATTCTAAGTAAATTTGTGTTTGATTTACCCAAAAGATGACGACAAACAACAAACTCATGTGGCCCATGAAGAAAAAATTGAAACTGAGAAAAGTAATATGCATTGAAGCAGCAAAACAGGTGAACATCTAAGGCTAACAAAGGCTTTGTGATATACAATTCCCTAAAGAAACAAGTTCAATCAGCATTCACAAGTGGGAGATGTTTGAGGACAAAGTTTTATATGCAAGGTCTATTTCTTGTTCCGTCATCTCAATTGTCTCATCACTGTCATACTCAGCTACACCAGAAGACATGGCATTTGTTCTTCCAGTTTTGCTCGTCTGTTCTTTATTTACCTTTGAATTTTTCTTCCTTTCGTGATCTAAACTATTTAGTTCCTCCTCGTAAATTCGCTTACAATCCAAAGCCTGTCTGTGGAGATCTTCCTTTGACAATGAAGTTTTCACGTTTCCTACCACATCCAACTTTGCAAGCTCCTCGACTACACGAGGCAAGAACATCCAGTCCTCAGTTCCTTTTCGGATGTCCTGATTAATAAAGATAAGTAAAAAATTGCAGAGAAAACTTAGTAGCACCCAAGAAAATGTTGGAATAGAAAATAGTAAGTACTGTGGTGTTCATGCAAGACAAAATTGACATTTTTATGGTTGTTATGTTCCCCACTTAGCTGACCTCATACCTCCTAAGATAGACAAATGACGGTGAATACTCAAATAACAATCAATTGAATGAAGTAGGGAATTTTACCTATGCCAGCATCCCCAGGTTATGAATGAAAATATTAACTAACAAGAGTGATACAAAATTTTATGTGTTCATTACCTGTTTCTCCTCTAGAGAACAAATTGCATCTTGCAAGCAAGTTAGAATCCCCTCTGCAGCTATTTTTGTCACCTCACTTGGATCTGGCTGAAATGATTGACATAAAATTTTGATTCATATAGAATATAACTGCCAACCTTAAGCACAATTAAGAGGGAGCAACAGATAGCTACAACCCTCACGCATTTACCCTTTTGAGTGAGGGTAGTAAAATACTATGCTTTTCTAATAGATGAGTTTAGTTTCGATGCAAACTTCATTTTTTGGACTTTAGTCTGATTCTTTCAAAGTTCTGAATGCAAATAAGCATTTTGTCACGCCTAGAAAATGAACAATATCTGAAAAACAGTCTTTTATACAGGAAATGGAAGATCATAACCTTTTCTTCTTGACTTTCCAGCCACTTAATTGTTTTATTCAAATCATCAATGGCCCACTTCTTCACTTCCAAAGGCTCAAAGCATTTCCGAGTAACATCAGTGTGTTTTCCCTGGAATATACAGTAAACATAAAAGTCACTATTATATAACAGATGTAATTGTTTGCAGATGAAATAAAGGCTATTCAGACTCATTATTCTCAAATCATGTAGCTTATAAAACATCTTGTTAGCTTTACCTTTAATTTTATGGAGGCAGTTGACTTTGAAGGCTGTTCTCTATCAACATGCTTCGGTGATTTTTTGTGTACAGATGGTTTTTTATCTGTACTGGGTGTCACAATAAAGATCAATTAGATTAGATGTGATATATTGGATGGAGATAGCATTACTGGAGCAGGGGAAGGAGGTTGGCAAGAAACCCCATAAGGACATATGTCATAACAAAGGCTATTAGTTTCAAGGTTTCATCACTACATTGTAGCACCTATATATATATATATATATATATATATATATATATATATATATATATATCCAACAAAGATGATGGATGCAAAAATGGCATTAAAAATTTTAAACTTTTGAGATTTTTCAGAAATAATTAAAAAATGATAATATCATTTAAATCATCAATATGTGATTACCATATCTCTTTAAATTGCAATTTTATTCCAAAATATATAATTGTATTGCTATGTTTACTTTTCTATAAAAAGAGTAAAGCTATAAAAAAAGAAGGATGTTGCAACCAGTATAGTTCTCATTAGATGTCAAAACATGCTATCTAACTTATGGTCCTATCCTATATACAAGTACATAGCCAATTATATCACCTTCATTGACTTCTCCTGAAACATTTCCTTTACGCCATGGTTTCCCAGCATGAAAAAGGTAATTGTCAATTTCAATCAGCTTCCTCTGGGTGTAACATTCTGTTATCCAATCCTAATCCAGAAAATGAAGAAAATAAAGAGTACATCAAGTAATACTAGGTAAGCTCTATCATCCAAAAATATATACAAAAATGATACAACCAATAATCTGAGTGGGCATGGTTAGAGTTTCCCTACCAAATAAAAATATGTTAATGCTTGATAACCCTTAACATATAAAAATTAAGTAAAGACACTGCCAAAACTAGTGAAAAAGAGAAGGCACAGATTGGATTAAGCAATAAACTACCTCTCACCAACAAACACATTACACAGTTTGCTACATACCATCGCGGCAAAGATGCCGGTAATCTTCAAATACTGTAATGGAATCCAACAACCACCAAAAATTAAGGGCATTACAGCAATTGACATTGAAAATGTGGACCTAATCGATCAAATAAAGGCTTAGAAAGAATATTATTCCACGAACAAAGAAAAATGACTATGAACATGAGATGCTCGTGTATTCTTGATTATTAAGATAATAGTTTACTTTAAATTATGAGCTTAGCAATAATCATCAATCAACACCGGATATCTTAACTCTTTTTATAAAAATGGAGGCATAAAAATGACACCTTGAGATTCATAGAATTAAACATAAGCAGTATTTTTAATAATATAGAGAGATATCATTGACATTCACGTTTAAAGAAAACAGGTAAAGAGGAAAACCTTGGAGACAATGGTTCCACAATCAGCTTCAACTTGTCTAAACTTGGGAGTGTTTGGAAATGCACAAACCAAGAGAGTGCAGTCAGAGTTCCAATCAGGTCGATATTCTGCCCCCATTTCCATTGCTCGTGACCTCAACATGCCCCTCTCCGGATTCACAAACCCTGAAAGCACAAAAATAACCCCTTCCTGTCCAAAATCCAGTTAAACCAATGGGTTGAATCAATCAACATTCGAAACAACAATGCAAGGAAAGCCAAAACCCACCAGAAGTTTGTTGAAGCTTCTAGACTCCAAACATGAGGCAGAAGATTTTCCACCATTCTCATTTTGGACTTTGCCCATCTTGGGTGTCTCACCGTCACTGGATTTCTCACCTTTGCCATCGAAAGTTGGTTTCTTAGAACTGTTTTCGCCATCGTTCTCTTTTGAACTCGTCCATGATGGCAAGCTCCGCTTGGACCCGCTGTTGGCGGCACTTCTTTTGGTATCAGACATGGTGAGAAGAACTACTTATGCGGAGGGTGCCAAAGTACCAAATTTGAAAAAACGCCAAAGTTTTAGTGAAGAAACCTCATGTGGGATCAAAATAAAATTCATAAATTAATAAAATAAAAATTAACAGAAACATGCAAGAAAATTTGAATGTGCATGCCCATTGAGATGAATCAACCAAAAAGTTAATACTCTTTGCTTGCTTGCTCCTCTTACTTCTGTTGCACCATTTGTTTGGGTGTTCAGTTTGCCCTGGAGGTGTTTCGTGTTTGTAAAGTGGCTTCGGCGAAACTAATAACTTGAAATATTTTTGCAAAATAATAAACAAAAATGTGGACGTGCCGGAGTGGTTATCGGGCATGACTAGAAATCATGTGGGCTCTGCTCGCGCAGGTTCGAATCCTGCCGTTCACGTGTTTTGATTTTTGAAATTTTTTAATTAACGTGGAAAGGTAGAAGACTGCCACGTCAGCTTCAATAAGCTCCCGCTCACTCTTTTGTTTTCAATTTTTGAATTAAACCCAAACACGCCTCTAGGGTTTGGTTCGGTTTTGTTTGGTTTCGATTTTCCGAAACCATAATGCTTGCGAACGTCAATGGAGAAAGAAGGTGATGATGCATTAGAGGATCCTCTCGCTAATTATTGGGGACTTTCTCTCTTTCCTTCGCCATCTCTCCCACCTTCCCAACCCTACAACTCAGACTTAGATCTTCACACCATCCACACTCACCTCAAATCCATGGTAACTACTTATCATAACCCTTTTTCCTCTTCCATCAATTCCAACTAATTATGTTCAGTTTAGCTTTAATTGTAGCATTGACTTCCATTTCCTCATGCCTACTATGCTTGCACAGGCCTTGCGAAGTCCGGCGAAACTGGTGGAGCAGGTCAAGCTCATTGTGGATAATAACCCTAATCTGTTCAGCTCTGAAGTTTCGCACAACTCAATTTCTCAGACAACAAATGATGCAGAAGAGGATGGAGAATTCCGTCGACAACAGAGACCTGGGTTGGGGCTCAAACGTCCACGCTTCTCTATAAAGCCAACTAAAAAGTAAGGCTCATAATGCGTACCGCCATTCTCTCCGTGAATCTTTTTTAATTTGGTTTTTGTTGACCTGGATTTTTGTAATAGGCCCTCTGTTGAGAGTTTGCTACCAACTTTGGACCTTGATAGCTTGAAAGATCCGGCGGAATTTTTCTTGGCCCATGAGCGGTTGGAAAGTAAGTTTCTGTTTGTTTTTTGTTTCTCTTCCTGTGAACTAGGTTGACTTCCCGTAGCTTGTTCTTGTCTTATTGGGTTTGCATTTGATGCCTAGATGCAAAAAGAGAAATACAGAAGCAGCTGGGTGGTGCCTCATTTGAGTCTGATCAGGATAGCTTATCCGCTAGACCACGACAACGTCGACCTGGGCTTTTGCGGAATGATCAGCTGTACGCTCTCGTATTACTAGGATAACAACTCTACATTGTGTTCTCTGTGATGTTTGCATTTTTATCTGTTGTTTAACTCGGTCTTAATGTCATATGGGCCAGGCCAATCAAATACAAGCATCGGTATCCTAGAGAAACCTCTGATAGTGTTCTATTCTCCCAGGATACACTTGGGTCTCAGACTCTTGATCCCGTGGCTGAGAAAACTGACATAGGGGGAGCCTATGTGATATCATCGAAAGAAGAAGTAATGGGTGAGTCAATGCTACCTATTCTACTATATGGCTATGCTGGCAGACCTGATTTCTTTTACTTCTAAATCAGACTTTTCAGTACACTTTTACGCCCCCTTTTTCCATTCTTTAAACACACTGATTGTGTATTTTTGCTACAGATTCATGTGCTACTGAAGGGAACAAGCTGGATGAATTGTTGGATGGTTTGCTTTCATGCAATTCTGAAGATCTGGAAGGGGATGGGGCAATTTCTCTTTTGCAGGAAAGGTTACAGATCAAACCCATAGCTTTAGATAAATTTTCTGTTCCAAACTTCCCAGATAACCAAGTGATTGCCCTGAAAGCATTACAAGGGAACAAGTCAAAGCCAAGGAAGGCCTTATCCAACATAGGTAATTTGCCGAAAGGAATGAATGCGAATACAAAGACACCTCTTAAAAGGTATGCACAGAGCCCTGTGCAGCAATTAGATTCACCCACCCCTCCTAGAAGCCCATTTGCTTCAATGTTGTCACTGCAGAAGCACATTTCACGGTCAAGGCAATCAATGGATGCTTTTTCACTTAATGAAATTGGTCTGTCAAATTCAGAGCACAATCTTGTTTCTGGGAGGCAAAATAAAGTGAGTGCACACAGGATTGATGATGTTGTTGCAGTTGGTAAAACAAGTACAGTTTTTGACACAGACAGAAATTGCGCCAATACTTCTGAAACTCCTGAAACTCCGAAGGAAGACAAAAATTCTAGGAAGTTATCAAATGAACTGAATGCGTCCTCAGCTGAAGATATAATAGCAGTTGGTGGGACAAGTGTGCTTAAGGACACTGTCAGAAATGGTTCCGGTGCTTCTCATAAGTCCATGGAAGGTAACTCAAAGGAACTTAGATTTGATGTTAATATTGACTCAAGTGAACCTCACTTTGACATGGATGTAGATGTTGGAGGCAGTGGTATGGACAAAAGGGTTATGGATGGCACAGAAGACAGGTCAGATATTGAGCCTCGCATGATTGAAGATGTTGTTGCTGTTGGAAATTTGGACGCAGACATAAATTGCAGCAATACTTCTGAATATATAAAGGAAGACAATTCTAGGAAGTCATCAAATGAACTGAAAGCGTCCTCAGCTGAAGATATAATTTCAGTTGGTGGGACAAGTGCGGCTAAGGACACTGTCAGAAATGGTACCAGCACTTCTCATAAGTCCGTGGAGGGTAATTCAAGGGAACCTAAGTTTGATGTTAGTATTGACTCAAGTCAATCTCATTTTGACATGGATGTAGATGTTGGAGGCAATGATATGGACGAAAGGGTTATGGATGACACTGAGGACAGGTTGGATATTGAGGCACGCATGATTGAAGATGTTGCTGTTACTAAGACAAGTTCAGTTTTGGAAACAGACATAAATGTTGAAAGCAGTTGTATGGGTGAAAGGGTTATGGATGACATTGAGGACACGATCAATATTGAGGCAAATGAAGTCTGTCAATCTGAGGACAAAGTATGTTTCATTTGAAAAAAATTTAATGTCATAAATTTAAGTTGTTGCCTTTTGCAAAGTTTTAACACTGAAAATCTTAATTAATTTTGTGTTTTGTACGCAGGCAGAAAATAAGCAGACATTTACAGCTTCTATCCGAACAGATGATACAAATATCAACATTGTCAGTTCACCAGGTATGTGTATATTCACCTGCTTCTGGGTTATATTCAGAATGCAAATAACTGAAGGCAGAGCCTAAAAACTAAACCAATGGGTGCTTAATTCTTGGCTAACACTGAATCATCTCTTTGCTTCACTAAGTATTCTACACATAATATTTTGTTAAATGCTGCTCATTAAGCCATATTTATTTAATCATCCTACTTGAGGTTCACTTTACATTATCTTCTCAGCAGTTGGGTAGTCTGAAAACTGAGAAGCCTACAACTTTTTAACTCATTTCTTGTTGACCGGAGAAACTCTTTGCTACCACTTTTTGTGTGCCTTTGAAGCTTCTTTTAGTTCATTAATGCAAGGACTTTATTTATTTGTTACCTTTACTATTGCTGCTTCATCCTTTAGTTCACTTGAAGCAATATACTTGGGAGTGTATTTTCCTTTATAATTCATTATCGCTCGCTTTTTTTCTTGTTTGTGGAGTTACTATTTTTCAGAATGTATTTCCCTACAAAATGTTTCATTTACATTCCTAACAAGAAACGGAACAATGGCATTTGCTTTGTAAATGGGCACCACTGCCATATGCAAGGCTAGTTTCTTCCAATGAAAATCCATTGGCTTAGGATATACTTTTCTGCTAAAAGGCTACGCAGAGTTCTTAACCTGCATCTCTGAGTAATCTCTGCACATGCATTAAGGCTTCTGACCTGAAGGCTGAAGCTATATTATCATCTTAGTTGCTGATATGATGTCATGTTCCTGCTCAGATTGCAGTTGTTTCTGATCATTTGGTAGTAAATTTGGAATTTCAAGAACATGCACTATAAGATTATTTTACGGCAGTGTTTAACCCTCTTCTTAAAAGATGTTTAGAGGAGATGGCAGGGTCGCTAAACACCATCATAGAAAAGCTTTTATAATCAAATGTAGTTTTTTAATGAACAAAATCCCTGAAAATAGTGGTTCTTTAGAGGCTATTTTGAGGATCGATCTTATACTTTCAGTGAAAGCAAAGCCCGAAAAACTGTGCCAAAACATAGTATATTTATGAACTATCTCAATGAAATCATTTGATCCATGTAGTTTACCCCTCCCAATGATTATTGTTGTTGACATGAGATAACAGTATCCTGAGCTCTCCTCTGAAGCTGCCCTTTGATCTGTGAAATCAGTAGAGAATATTGCTTTAAAATCGGCGTTAATTTGCCTTAGATGGGACTAACTCTGTTGTGGTTTGCCTTAGCTGGTCAATCAAATCCTGTTGAATATCAAGCTAATGCTGTGGATAAATCTGCCCGAAGATCAGATGATGATCAATCAAATCCTGCTGAATATCAAGCCAATGTTGTACAGGTTACTAGATTTGTCCATTTCCTTTTTTTTTGTGTCTCTCAATGTTAAAACTACTTGTCTTACATTTCAATTATTTTATCATGTATCAGTAATTCAAGTGATGAAAAATTATATTATGGCAATTAACGTGTTTTAGACAGAAAATTAGTTGTACAACTACTTTACAAAATATTTTTTATTATTTTTAAATAAGATAAAGAAGGGAAAAGAGATGCATAATGCGATAGAGAGAAACAATGAATTGTAAACAAGTGTGGTAAAAAAATTATTGTAGGAATAATTTGCCATACTTTGAATGTGATAAACCGTAATTTGTAAGATCAGTTGGTGTAAGGCAATCGTTATCCATGCACTTTCAGTCCCCTAACTGTATCCGACTAGCAAAGGTAATATTAAGTTGTACCATACTATTTAGATTGTAAACTTATGGTGTGAAATTTTGAATTATATATAGAAATTTACAAATATTCTCGTTTTAATTGGTTTTTGAATTAATGTGTTATAAAACTAGTCTTGGATAAGTTCTGGCATGATTCCATACAAGTCTTATAATTACTATGTCCAAATTTTACGGGTAGTTGCTTTTTAAAGAATTGAATGTGTGACTTCAGTTACAGGAAAAGACAGACGGTTCTATGAGGCCTGTTAAAAAACAAAAGAGAGTTAAATCACGTGCACAAAAAAGTGCTTCGAAACGGCAGAGCCTCGCAGGTTTCTACTTGTCATTTATCTCATCCATTGCTTTTCAAGATTTCCTTTTGTTGTGAAATAATTATTCTTTGTTTCCAGCTTCGGGTACATCATGGAATTCTGGATTACGGAGAAGCACCAGGATCAGGACAAGGCCATTGGAATACTGGAAAGGGGAAAGACCGGTGTATGGTCGAGTACACCAAAGTAAGTAAAATTATATTGCTCTATCACAGTCATCTTGGCTACACTGTTAGACAATAACTGTATTCAGTATTGATAACTTTTGGTTGAAGGGTAATAGTACCTTAAGTTCTGCCATTTAAGTGGGAGTATCGTATCTTCTATTTTATCATGTTTATCTTTGATTATGAAGATTTTTATTATCGACACAGGATTAAAAGAATTTTACGTGTCATGTTTGCAGGTTTGGCTACAGTCATTGGGGTGAAGTGTATTTCTCCAGGAAGTGATGGAAAACCGACTATGAAGGTGAAATCTTATGTATCGGATCAACACAAAGAGCTTTTCGAGTTGGCATCTCTACATTGAATGTAAAATAAGTTCCTGGGATTTATTTTCTGTAACATCCAATTCCAATCACATCATTGGCGGAGGATTAGTCAATGCTCTTACACTGCATTGTCTGTAGCTATAACCAGTAAAGTGGCAAGACAACTCAAGTAACAACAATTAATCGTTTAAGCCTCTTATGTTGTTATTTACTCAGATTAATTTAAATCGTCTTCTTAACTACTACGAACAGTAAATATAAAAAATTAAACTTGTTTAGGTATAAATTAAATTAGTTGATGTACCTTTATTTATTTTTAAATTTTAGTTAGTTTTTTATAAATATAGGAAAAATTACGAATGAAGTGCAACAACATAAACATTATACCACTAAGTGAACAAAATATATTTATCTGAATTGAAGAAGTAAAACTCTCATAAAATGTCGAAGTACAAGTTGATTTATATATATATATATATATAATCATTGATATGTTTAGGAGTGGAGTTTGGATAGGAGACTGGATGTTGTACTTTTTAAATAAGGAAAAAAATACAGTCTTGGCTATTTGTTTATTAATATTATTTAATTATTTACCAATATTTTTACCTTCCAATTTAATTAAAATGTGTCGTAGTGTATACACAAATATGAATGAACATTGTAACACGTATTCTTCTGGGAATTTTTTAACTATAAAGGAGATAATGATAGAAACAGTAGGTCTGTTCAAGTCATACACAAACTCAGTCTATAAGTAGGAAGAAAAAATCATATATGTTAAATGGAGATAATAATAGTAAAGGCAGGTGTAAAACTAAATTACTTTTAGGATTAACTCTATAAAGTTAAATTAAGAGAACCCTATATAATAAAGTGAGAATAATGGTAAAAGTAGGTGGAGTATTGATTCAATTTTAGCATATTAAAACCTTATAAAGTGAAGCAAAGGAATAAATTAGTTCACTGTTCAAAACTTGAGATATAATCAAAACTTAACCACTAAATGAATTGCAGTTAGTCTGTGTAGTATATTTCATTCCCCAAACGGATAAGAATGCTTACTTTATTTATTTGATGAAAACTGTGTATATTTTTCTAATGTTTTTAATTATTTTTATGTGTATTAATTATATGTGAAAAAAAAAAAAGTCAGGAGGCCAAGGCCCTAGGTTCCAAATCGTGCCCGCACTGATTATATGTGTATTAATTATTATTTGTAAATAACATGATAATTAAAAAGTCACATTTTTCTTTTAATCTTATTTTTTATAATTTTATTTAATAATAATAATTTATTTTTCTATCCCTTATAATAAAGGTATTTCCATTTTTTATATTATAATATTAATATAAATTATTCATCATTAAAAAAACTTTAAACACATATAAGTAGCCACTTTCCTCCATTATTCCATATCCAAAATATTCTCACTCGACATTATAATTTATATTATAAACAAAGTGAAATATTTTGGTTGATTATTAAATATCCATTGAAGTGTAATTTATTTAAATATTCTGAGTATCAATCAACTTTTAACCGTAGTTAAGTTTTACATTAACCAACTTTCATTACGCGTATATTATTGAAGTGAAATTTTAATTTTGACAAAAAGATGAATATTAAAACACAAGAAAAAAAAAAAGACTTGAATTTTGAATTATCCACACTAATCTCGAACAATAACTAAACGTAACGAATTTAACTACATATTATTAATTTCATATGACTTTATAGAATGAGTCCACACGACTTACTAATCAAACTGAAAAATAAAATGATGTTGAAAAGTGGTCGATATTCAAACATCAAGAGCTTCTAACTCATTCTACACTATTCTCAAACTATAAATTGTGGCTACAAGAAAATACGTGAGTCAGATAAACTGTTCAATCGCTTGAAAATTGAGGCCATTAACTCTCAAAATTCTACTCAATACGTGGATTCTATGCAGTCATAAAAAGTAATGTATTAAATTTTAACAATAAAAAATAAAGTATATATTAAATTTTAAAACTAAATATTAAACGAAAACAAACAAATCTGTCTTATGTCTTCTTCTTTAGGTTGTCTTTTTAAGGTGGAAAAAACCAATTTTTCTTTTTGCCACCCTTACACTTTTGTCAACTTCCTTCTGACTGCTATACCCTCCTCTGTATTTCTCCTCCACTCTCAAGCATAATGTTTCAAACAATAACAAAACCCATTTAACTAGTTTGTCGACTAAAGTTAAAAATTCTTTTATAAGACTTCAACTTTTGAAAAAAAATATTAACTTTTATTTGATGGGTGGATCAATGTGAATGTCGACAGCTAAATAGGATTGTGAAGAAGATATCATCCCAATTTTATAAACTTATTTCTTTGGTTTTTCTTGACGTAGGGTCCTTCGACAAAAATACTTGTTGAGGTCTAGAACATTTTTGAAGTGTGATTGTTTAGGATCCATTCCAAACAGATTCTCTTCTCATAGAAAAGGACACGTATTAACACAAACAAATAATCAAGTTTTTTTATCAATAGACTATCTAAAAATAATAGAAAAATTAATATGTAAATTTTATTTTAATATTTTTCTACATCAACTATCTTAATATTTATGAATTAGTGTGTAATTCTTAATATCATTATTTGATTCTTATATATAAATGAATGTATCTCAACCTTATATTATTTATAATATTATTATTAGAATTAATTAAATGAATGTGTCTCAGCTTTATATTATTTATAATAATATTATTAAAATTAATTAATTTATAATATTATTATTAAGATTAATTATTAGATATGAGATATTATTAATTTTAAAATTTTAATTTGTCATTATTTTATCTTTAAAAAATATATTAATGAATTTAAAAAGAAAGATATATTATGAGTCGAAGACTAAAAAGTACAGAACAAACTTATTTTAATTTGTAACAATGTTCACTATGGTCACATTATTGGATCCATTAACAAGTTCAAAATATTGTTTACTTTAAAATTTAATCAATCATTATTTTATTTTTAAAAACATCTAGATAAATAATATATATATATATATATATATATATATATATATATATATATATATATATATATAAATTATCGTTAAGTTTCGCTCTTTACTCATAATTCGTCATTTTGCAAGCTAACCGAAATATTATTTATTTTAATATTTTATTAACAAGTATAGAATAATAGTAGGATGCTAGTAAAGATTTAAAAAGAGAACAAAATCTAAAAAAATGTGTAAAAACAAGTTATTATTATTAATATATGTGTAAAACGACGTAGTGCGGAGAAAGAAAGAGAAGGTTTTATTTATTAATTAATTGATTTCGTTAGATTGAAATGAGTAATTAATGTAACGTGTACATGACACCTTTTGTTGACTTTCTCAGCATTTGCCTAACTTTAAGATAGAGTTGAATTTATAATACTCAATTATCACGCTATCACCTTCATTGCCTTTTATTTCTGCTGTTAATTCTACCATAATTTAACTTAATACGTTTAATATTTAATTCGTAAATCGTTCCAGTGTTGCCACTGATCATGGTGTTTGTACTAAAAAACTGATTTGGTGAAAGGTGACCAAAAGCATAGAATTATTGTCTATTTAAATTAATTTTTCTGATACTAAAAAAGTCAGCAGGGTCTTACGGAATGAACCACGCGTTTGTTATAATAACAATAGTAATGATTGAGGTTTTGGAGAAAATCATGGTCCTGTTAGTTTCTTGCTTGAGGAGAATAAAATGAAGTTAATAAGCTAAACAAAATGAAACAGTAGAAGTTGGAAGAAGAAGATTAGGTTTCACACATAACAGAGAACATGAATCCTAAACCTAGGGGTCTAACAGAGAACATGAATGAGGTATTACGTTGAGTAAATGAGAGAAGAAGTGTATTAAAAAAAGTAGGGTTTTGTGGTGTTTGTTAGAAAATTGTAGCATGGGACCATGATCAGTGACATGACAGCAATGCAATGGTTCTAGAAGGAAAGGTGGTGACTCATGATAATGTTAATGTCGTGGCTGATTTGGAATGAGGACGGTGGTCACATGACAGCAATGCTTCTAGAAGAATGGTGGTGGTGATAGGATGTCACAAATCTCAATAATTCATGTAAACATCTACTACTGTTCCTTTTCCATGGACTTCACAAAAAGAACGAAAATGAAACTCAAACACTGACACACGATAACGTTTATGTTCTGCTAACATAAAAATTCCAAATTTCATTTCATTAACTGCAATCATCAAGTGCAAATTACTCCATTTTTTGCATGAAATTCTCCATCCCTGGCTCTACCAATTGTCACATCTTTAGTCCTCGTGCTTTGAACTTTGAACTTTAAACTTTAAACTTGCACTTTGGTGTTGGACTTTGTTTCATCAGATAAGGACTTCTCCTTTTTTGGAATTACCTTCTACACTATGCCCACAAAATTCATGCATTATTATCCCATTTCTCACAAATACCAGAGTTTGTATTTCATTCTTGTTTTTGTTGATGAACAATCTTATATATGTTTCTTAAAAGAACTATTTAACAATACATTATTTTAATTCCCTATTTAAGCTTTTCAACATAAAACTGTGAAGATGATGCATATCAAAACAAATAATATATAAAATATGTTTTAAAATACGATTTTATTTTTTATTTTTAAAATATAAAATATTACATTTCAAATTATTATTATTATTATGTTAGTTAAATTTTCGTTTTAAAACATAACTTATTCACATCTATTTATTTTTCTAGATTATCAACTTTAGTAGTTTTTTTAAATGTTTTGCCCAAAAGTTAAAACAAATATTTGTTAGGTAAGCTTAGTTATGGTTATTAAAATAAATGGTCCTGCATAAAAATAAAAACAAAATAATTATTTTAATTTATATTTTAAAATTGATCATAATATTTATTTAATTTTTATTTAGGTTAATGAAATAATTTTGTTATGTTTGAAAATTTTACAAATATAATAAATCTATATAAAAATATCATTAAAAAATTAAAATAATAAATATATATTTTAA